TGCAGCACATTTTGGACATATTGCAAATCTTCTCTTCAATATGTGTATTCTGGGCCAAGTCTCAGTTTTGCCATCTGGGAATGCCCACCTGATTTTAGTTACTTCTTCTTTCTTTTCTTCAGTTAAACAAATGGTCTTGCCTGGTCTACCTTCATGATGGCTTTATCTGGCTGTGTTTTATCTCTTAACTGTAGCTCTCATGCTTCCAGCTTTGTCTGTCATTTTCAGTCAAGCATCCTTTTAGCTCATTTTTATCTTGTTTGATTCCATTACCTTTTATCTACACTTGAAATGATGGGCAGAAAATGGCCGTACATGAGAGGAGAATTGTAAACATTGCCGATTTTCGTAACAGGGTGGCCTTGCTATCTCTGATTGGGGGTGCTGAGGCCCAGGCAACCCAAAATGTGGGCGCAGTCACACCCTCCTTCCTACATCGGTGTCCTAAAGCTGCTGTGAAAGAGTGCCATCATCTGGTTGGCTTATGCCACCCAAACTTATTGTCTCTCACATTGCAGGTTGAAGTCTGAGAGGAAGTGTCAGCATGTGGGCTCCTTCTGAGAGCAGTGCCGGGTTCCACTCCCCACTTCTGGCTTCCAGAAGCAGAACTGGATCTGTGCCTTCATCTGTTTTGTCTTTTATTTTGTATTGGACACTGAGCCTAGGGCTGTATGCATGTGAGATCAGCATCCTACCATTGAGCTACATCCATAGCTCTTGTCCAAATTTTATTTTAAGATAGGACTTGCTAAATTGCCCAGACTGGCTGAGTGACTGAGATTACAGGTATGTGCCTCCACCTTCACATGGCGGTCTCTCTGAATGCATGCCTGCACCCACACTTCCCATTTTTATAAGGACACCAGTTGTACTGGACTAGGTCTCCCTACTGTAGTATGACCACCATCTCGGCTATACGTTTACAAATCTAAATCAGCCGCATTCTGAGGTTCTGATGGTAGAACTTTGCCATGTGAATTTTGGGAACACTTCTTAATTTGGTCTTCATGGAATATTGTACTTTTGGGAGCAATGTCGTCCAGCACTTTTGTTGCCTTCTACTTTGGTGATGAATGCAGGGCAGGAGTTGGTGTGTATAGCTCCAGGAATGCTGACCTGCTCTAGGTTTCTAGATCCAATTTGCTCCTGTTTCTGTTCTGCTGGAAAGTGCTTGACACTTTAATTCAAGGTCCAGCATAGCTGACATTTTCACTTTTTGTCTGTCACAGGCAGAACTAGGAGGAAGAAAAGCCATTTGGAGAAATTTAGCCTTTTGTGTCCGTGCTCCTCCTTCTGCCTTTAGTGCATCCTCCCATACTACATGTCTTGTGAGCTTCAGAAGTGTTCATTGGGAACTGGGCATGCAGCTCAGTGACAGAGTTCTTGTGTATCACATACAAGACCCTGGGTTAGGTCCTCAGCACTGAGAAAAAAGATGCAGAAGTCCTCCTTCAATACTTCCTGGACTTTGCTGCCTGCAATTAGAAATTAATCTGTTTATTTTTATTGTTGTTGTTGTTTGTTTTTTGAGGCAGGGTCTCACTTTGTAGTTCAGGCTGGCCCTGAACTCACTATGTAGCCCAGGCTGGCCTTAAACTTGCAATGATCCTCCTGCCTCAGCCTCCTGAGTGCCGGGATTATAGGCATATGCCACCATGCCTAGCTGGTTTGTTTATTTCTTTTGACTGCTTATATTTGAGAGCTTTTTTCAAGTCACATTAGAATACTTCCCTAGTCATCATGCTGCCACTATTTTAATTTGTATTTATCTGGGCTCCTATTAAGAGTTTTTAGAAAAGTTCCCTATTGAGCGTTGTCAGAGTCCGGGCACTTTTGGGACTACATGAAGCCACTAGTGTTAGCACTTCTAATTAGCTGGTATAATAATAGTGGTCCTGAAGATGGATTAGGGAGATTCTGGGCTGTTTAATTTTTAGTTCATTTTAAACATCATGGAAAGGAAATTCTGTTTCATGCATTAGAAGCCATCGGGAGAGGTTTGACAGAGCAGGAGCTAGTAACACCTGAACTAGTTCACCTGAACAGGAGAAGGTGGTTGACAAGTAAGAGTAGACAGAGTCACCCAGGGATAGAAAGTGGGACCCAGCACCATGGAAAAGAAAAAGTTAGAAAGAGCAGCAAGCCCAGAAGGAGGAAACGGAAGGAGGGCAGAGAGGAGAGAGGAGAAGTGCAATGGCACCAAGGGGCTGGAGTAGAGCATTATTTCCAGGGAGCCTGGGCAACTAGTGTTGAAGGGGAAGGGTGTGGGTGATGTTTGCTGTATTTGGGGAATGGTAGAAATGAATCCTTGTTTGTATGACGCACTCATGAAAAACAAGGACACAGAATCAGGGGAGCACCCCACTCCTTCCAGAATTTTGAATGAAGCAGGAAGAAGAAAGAGGGATGGGTGGCATCATAGTTGACCCTCGGAAGTGATAAGCCCTATGTAGAGGTGAGGGAAAAGCAGAGGCTCAAGATAAAGGAGAGTGTAGATGTGGTGTCATTCTGGCATGAAAATACATGGAATCCTGGGCAACTCAGTAACTTAGTGAGACCTGGTCCCGACACGGGGGATGGGAGCTGGGGATGTTGCTCAGCATAAAGGCTCTGAGTTCAATCCCTAGGAATGAAACAGGGAAATAAATACACATGACTTCTAAGCCTCTAAAGTAAAATTAATTAATTTGAATTCAGGTTCTGCTACTTTTTTTTGAGAATTCATAAATCCCAATTTTATTTTAGGTACTATTTTTAATTGTTCAATACATAATGAATCCATTCATTATGGGTAGTTGATACATATATATATATATCATGAAAGACACCATCTTAATTTTTTAAAAGTTTATTTTATTAATGCATTGTGTAGTGCATAATATTTACATTCTTTGTGGGAAGTTGGTACATGTACATAGAACATCTTAATTCTTTTTAAAAGCCCCTTTCCTTCCCTCCCTACGCATTTCTTAATCCCAAGAAAGAAAGAGGAAAAGCCAGTTGTGTGAACCCTGAAGTGAGACATCAAAACTGCACCAGGGCTTGGCTGCCTCTTCTGAGGGCCCAGATTGTGTGCATAAAAGCTTTTCATTTCTTTTATGTTCTTTCATTTTCCTAACACAGCATGTCAGCATCTGATTTAGCCTTTTCTTTGTATTTGTACCTCATTTCTCTCTTTTCTCACATCTTTCTTTTCCCATATCAGGTATTATTTTAATTTGCCTTGTCATTTCTTTAAGCTTTGTTTTTCTTGTGATTTTTTTACCAGTTCTTGTGAATTTTTTTCTTTTCCATCCCTTTTGCGTTGGCTTATAACTTAGAGATGAGATGTTTTCTGTGTGCTTGTTATGTGGGTAAAAGTGTTAACTCCAGTATATGGTTGCATGGTTATGGACTGAGAAACTGTGTCTGTGGCTTGCCTTGTCAAAAACATTTTGACACCTAGAACCACTTGGTGAAGTAGCTTTTGGTGAAGTGAAACCATTTTACAGATAGAGTTCTAATTTAAGTAGATAAATATTATTAACAAATAATATTAACAAATATTATTAAACTTATTTTCACTCCTTTGAAAATGTGCTCCTTTTCTTCTTTTCCTTTTTTCTCTATGCCTTTTCTTCCTCTCCTGTTACTAGTATTAATTATTGCTTTTGTAAACCCAGATGTTCCCTGTCAGTCCCATCACAATTGTTATATAAATTGAGGACTGATACTGTTTTATGTTTGGCATTTTCCCTGTTGCCCACAAGCTCTGTGACGCCATTTCTGCCCAGTGGGTCAGAACCCTGGGTCAGCAGCAGAGCGTGGGGAGCTGTGCGATGAAGGGAGAGCCATGACTGCCGATGAACAGGTCCACCTGTTATTGCTCTGGGCTATTTTAACTTCGGGAAATAAATCCTGAAATGTGTTATTTACATTAGGTTCATAACCTTTTTAGTTTCAAGACGCTTTGATATTTTTCACCATTATTGAGACCCCTAAAGAGCGTTTGCTTATGTGGTTTATATCTGTTGTATTTGCCATATAGGTTTAATGTTGAGCACAATGTAAACCATAGGAATTTTTTTTTTAAGAAATGAGCATTCTATTTTACATAAGCATATAAGCACTCCTGGGAGGTAAAATGATGGGGAAGTCCAGGTGAGAAGTGGAGGTTTCTAATCTCTGAGATGCTTGTCTGAAGGAGTTTCAACATTTAAGGAAGGAAGGAGGATGATGCAGATTTGTCTACATTCCTACTCGACAAAACTTTATGGAGAAGCACAAGTATTTTTAGCTGTATTTAGTATATTTAGTTCTATGCTACACTTGTGAGCCATCAAGAATGAGGATAGTCAATCACATATTAATTTTACTTTTAAAATAGGTTTGGCCTTGCAGATCTTCAAAAGTGACACAGACATCCTTTGGGGGGCCCAGAACACACTATAAAAGCTGTTGATTTAGATTTTTGGTGATAAATAGTGAGTATTTATGTTGGAAACTCCAGAAATGATAGTGGATCGTGGGAGAATATTGAGGGCCCCTTCTTACCAGAAATTCATACCACATGTGGTTCTCTACTGACACATAAGACAGTGCTATACATCTGAAAATGAACTTACACATATATTCAATGAAAATAATTTAGTATCATTTTTATGACCATTAAAATCTCAGCATGACTTAGTGAGTCATCATCTTGGCAGTATTGCAGAACTTGCTTGTGCAATTCAGACTGAATATCATCACTACCAAGAAAATCAGCAGGGTTCTGGTTATGTTTCTCATTACCTGGTTAACCAAATAACACTTAAATGGTGTGTACGAACATCATGTCCTCTTTACCATCAGTCTACCAGCCTTTCAAAAATTCTTTTCTCTTACAAAAATATGATATTATTTAGAATCAGTGAGACTCCATTAATTAACATTACCAATCATTTTGGTAGAACTTTCTGGGTACCTCCTATGTGTCTAAAAATTTGATCCCATAAGTCTAATCATTTGCTTCTTTTCAGATAGTTTTGAGATAGCAGAATCATCGAATCATAGCCACATGACCTCAAGCCCTGGAAACATCACACTTACCTATGATCTTCCAGTGAACTGGGCAGTGCAACAAATCAAGTGGGAGAAGATCCAGCCACATCAGGTAGACCTCTTGGTACATTGCAATCTGTCTGAAGGCATAAGTTACTCCAGATACGGAAAACAAATATTGACCAACTGCACGCAGGGCATCAGAAGCAACTTCATCATTATTATCAACGCCACTGCCTCTGACTCTGGGCTTTACCGCTGCCATTTTACAGCCAGCACTGGAGAAAATGAAAGCTTCCTGATGAGACTGACCATTACTGATGGTGAGTGAACCCTGGATATTTTCCAGGTGCAGTAAGTAGCTCATGCCTGTAATCCCAGATTTCTGGGAGGCTGAGGCAGGAGAATTGCAAGCTCCAGTCCTACTTGAGCAATGTATGGAGTCACTGTCTCAAAAGAAAAAAAGAAAAAATTAAAGAGGGCTAGTGATGTAGCTCAGTGGTGGAGTGCCCAGGTTTGATCCCCAGAAACCTTAAAACAAAATGAAACAAAACAAAACTCAACCAAAGATCAACAACGACAACAACAGAAACAACTACAAAACTAGCCCCTCCCTATGAATTGGTCTCTGTTCTTTTTATTTGTGGTAAACATATTCATTTAATGGAACATTAATGCTTGATATAGATATAGTGGCCATTATTATATTTTAGAATTTAGTGTTCTATCCAGCACAGAATATTTTTTATTTTCTTATCTGCCACATTCCTGACATTTAAAAAAAAACATGTGATATTACAGCCTGTATGTTTCAGCTATGTAACTCCCCCCTCCAATTATATTAACATTGTTTTTTTTAATTTTGAGAATGATTTCAATCATTTCCAGTGTCAAGAATGAAGAAGGTAGGGTTCAAAAATCCAAGGAAGATTTCCTTCTTGTTTCTGGGGGCTGAGTCACTATTCATAAAAAGGCTTATGTTAGTCACCATTACCTTTTCAACACATGAAACCATGACTTTAATACATGTAAATTTTTTGTTTTATTTAAAAAAGTTAACAAGTTTTAAAAGAACAATCTTTTTATTCTTTTACTCTACCTAATATTACTACGACTTGGCACATCAGACAAAGATATTTTTCACTGATGGATGAAATCAAAACCTTGGCAAAGCAGAGAATAATTTTCAGTTCAGTAGAAGATGCTCAGACACCTGAGGATACTTCTCATGTGTATTAAGAAGTATCACTATATTAACATTGTTGATGGCACTGACAAGGTATTTAATCCCTGTGATCCCTAACAATGACAAGGCAGTGCTGGATTAGTGTGTGGGAGCCAGTCTTGAGCTGACCAGAATGCAGCTGCTGCTTGCTGGTGTGGTTGCTTCTTTGCCAGATCAGACCCTTGTTTGCTGCAGCCGTATTCAGAACTGGGCAGAGAAGCAGACTGACCTTGAGGCTAACAAAACTGACCTTCAGGGCCTCTTTCTAAGCAGAACCCTTCAGAGAGCTGCATTCACTTTGTATTTGTAATTTGTCCCCAGTTTGTAAGTGCCGGGGTGATCAATACCTGGAGAGAGAAAAGGGGATTTTTTTTTTCCACTTATGAAAGTACAAATATACATAGATGCCTGTGTGGAGGTCTGCATTACCGTTAAGTAGGAGGGAGTCAATCTCAGGATATCTCAGCTCTGCTCTGAGTAAGATTTGTTGTTGCTGAGAAACATGTCTTACAAAAAAATTTATTTTTTTAACAGTAATTCTTATTTCACTTTATTGTTAGTCTAGCCTTCTCTCCCTCCTTCCTTCATTTCTTTCCTCTTTTTCCTTCCATATGCATTTAGCCAGTTCATTTACTTGACTTCTATTTAGACTTTGTTTTTGGACTATGTAATCCAGGTTGGCCTTGAACTTGTAGATCTTCCTGCCTCAGCCCCCCAACTCCTGGGGTTATAGGTGGGCACCACCACACCCAGATTATACGTACAACCAAGGCTTCCTAGACTTTGGCTGCTTTTTGTAGTCTCTGTTTATACTGCAGACTGATATTTCTTCCTGCATTGAAAATGAAGAGGTAAAGATTTTTGGGAAGAGCAGCCTTTGCAGTGTGTAGTAAGAAGAGCAGTTGCTAGAGGACAGCACTTTTCATCTGCAGTCACCTCGGGGGCCACATGAAGCCAGCAAGCCAAATTGTTCCTCTCCACCAGAGCAGGAGCTGTGGCAAAATATACGTTGCCCTTCTGATTTAATGTCGAACAGTGGTTGACCTTAAATCACAGAGGAAAAATGAGCAGTTTCCTCATTTTAAATACAGTATGACTCCATTCCTGAAGGCATAGACAGAAATATTTCTTACCTCAAAAAGAAGTGCTTTTCTTTTAAACTAGTCAGGAAAAAGAAAGTAAAATTTCATAGATGCAAAGACAAGAAAATATTCCATTCAGAAAAATATCACAAAGAATCATTTTCAAACACATATGGAATAAGGTCTTGTTTATTAGGTGTTGAAAAAATAATTATAAACATCTTAAATCATAGATGAAAGTCATGGACTTTTAGGAGATGAGTTATTTAACTTTTACTAATTATAATCATATCTTTCATTTATCCAAACATGACTGAATATTTTGCACAGAATTGTTTCTTTGTAATAAAGTGTAAACAACATCAAAATCTGCCAATGAAATGAAGGTGAGAATGTAATGGTAGGTATTGTCAGTGTCTGTGAGTTTGAGCAAATGCAAAATGGCTTTTTGACATTCAATTGACAGACTGAAAGAATGAAAGAACAACAAGTGGACTTTTAATCCATCAGTAAAAAATTATAATTGAAGGAAGATGACAACTATGGACTGTATATTTTGGCTTAATTCCTTCTTTCAATTATTATAAATAAGAAAAGATTGAATCCAAAAAATTAAACAAAAAAAATGATAGATCATTTCATTTTCTCTGGTGCAGCTTGATTATTTCAAGCCCTAAAGCTGTTTGGTCAAAAATCAATATAGAGATTAAAGGAGAGAGACAGGTAGAAGATGTAGAGATATTTAATTTATTTCAACTGTCAAGGGAAAGGTGATTGTGACACAAATTTTATAAACTACTCTACATCCTTTTGTTCGTTCACATCAACTTCTTTTATGGGACAGACTATTGGATTCAAAAGAGGTATTTTAAAAAAATTTATAAGTACACACAGGCTTTTGTTCTGACTTTTGCCTGCCCATGTTCATCTTCAGAGAAGAATCTGTTAGTCAGAGGTCACTCAAAAGATTTTGTACAATCTCCAACCAATAATTGTATGATTGTCAGCCAATGCATCATCTCTCCATGACTTAATGTATTCTGGACAGAGGAAGAAAATGACAAAAATCTCAGTTGACTTGCCATTGACTCTCTTTGCAGAATGGAAAGAGATGCTGATCTCCTGTCCTTTGCACTCAGGACTTCTAAATTATTAAGAAATAGCTCCAGATTAACTTTTCTGATTTTAGAACTTGACCACATATGCACGAAAGTAGAGAAAATCTTATTGACAGTGACCAGAATTTTTTTTTTTTTGGTTGTCAGTGTCCTCCAAATTTTCATTAGTCATAAGAGAAGTATTTTAGGTGCCACCAAAATAAATTGTGAAGTCTGTTTCATATTAACCAGGTGGTGTGCCGACTGTTAGTGTTCAAACAACTTCAGCAGAGTGCACTGGTGAAGCTATCTGGTCCAAGAGTGGGTATAGACCACAGGTTCCAGATCTCCCTTGACTGGACACAAAACTGGCTGCGACAAGGAGAGATTCAGAACAATATCGATCTCAGTGACATCAGTCTCAGCCCATGTTTGCTGCTCCTGGTACAGCCACTCACATTGTCCCACCTTTTCCTGGTTTTTTTTTTTTTCCTTTCCTATTTTGTTTTGAAACAGTCTTACTAAGTCACTAAATTGCCAAGGCTTGGATTTACACTCTTCCTGCCTCAGTCTTCCAGTGTGCTGGGATTACAAGTGTGTGCTACCATGTTCAACTTTATATTTCCATTTTCTTAACCAATCTCTTATTTTTAACCATATTTAGGTCCTTTTCCATAGAATGTAGTCATCTCTCTGTTTCTTGTCTTGTTCACGCTAGCCCCAAATGCCTTCCTGTCTTTGAGTCATTAAGCATTTTGATTTTCTGAGACTTTTATAACTCAAAGATTTCTACCCTCCAGTGACCTAATCTACACATTTGTATGATCCAGACTCAACAAAACTTACTTGAGGGTTAAGACTATGACACCTCTGTTGAAAGTTGTCAAAGTATCTTTTAAGCATAAGCTCAGTAAGTGTTCTTGCCTGATTTTATGTTTTAAGTTTCAGGTTTTTTCTTTGTAGATTATTCTGAGATTGGTTTCATCAACATTTAACTTTTGAGGTTTAGTGATTGTTGATTAAATAAAGTGAACTTTCAGAAGATCAGTTGCAATGATTGGGGAGAAAGTTTTTGTGAACTTTTGTCTGTATATATAATTTTCAGAAAGGACTATTTCTTTTTTTAAACTTTGGCTTTTTTATTTTGCATTTTTTAGATAGATTCTGCATAATTGCAAGTCTTCAGTTTTAGAGGATAGAATTTGTAAGTTAAGATTATAGACATAATCACTGGGAAGTAGTGATACTCTAGCCCATGAAATTTTCCTATGTATTTCTTCTGTATAGGGTTGGCAAAGAGGTAGAATTGGGGAATAGTAAGTACACTAACTATTGATTGTAAATCTTGCCTTTCAATGACTTGGTGAAGATTACTGTTTTGGGGACTTTGTGCTCTTGAGTTGAATTATGAGAATATTGAAGAAGAGATAAATTGGTCTTTAGTTTCCACTAAAATTTGACCTTTTGGCTCTCAATAGATTTGAATTCTAGAACAGTTTCAGGTTGTAGGCAAGCTTTTTTGTTGTTTATATTTAGGATTTTGTTAATTCCAAACCCTTTTTCTCATTCCCATGAATTTAGACTAGATTTGAAGATTATAGGTGTGTGGATAGTTTGAGCAAGGGCCTGCTGAGCTGATGGGTATGGTCATTTCCATGGCAAATGTGACACACCTCAGCCTTTTGTTATCTGTAAATATATGGAAAATAAAACACCCCTGAAAATTATGTGATTGAACCACACAACCAGACATCCAGATTGCTAGTTACACTGCTCATAAGTTAAAATAGCCGCTACTGACACAGATCAACCACTATTTTCAGCCCAATTTAGTTTTGGTTTTAAAATTCTGGATCGTAAGTGGCTATCCAGATGTAACACCATTTCCTACATCACAAGTCAGTTGATTACTCAATCAT